TTGCAATGAAATTTATAATGTTAGCTTCAAAAGGTGCACTATAATCACTCAATGAAAATAAACGTTCATCTGGAAAAAAAAAATAGAACTCATTAATTTAATTTTTATATCAAATTTAGAAAAATGATCATCTACTTGATTTTCCACTCCTTTTCTATCAGGTATTTTAATATCAAATTTTTGTAGAAGTAGAATCCTCCTAATAAGTATATGTTCATATCCATTTTTGACAAAATACTTGATAAAAGAACGGTTAGTATAAATAACAACTTTATTACTTATATAGTATTATCTAAATTTGTCAAAAATAAACATAAGAGCTAGAAATTCTTTTTTGGCTTGAATTGCTGGTCACTAATTCTTTGGTGAATTCCATCCATTAAAGGTATTTGTTAATGTTCTTCACTGAGTTGATTAGCTGTAACCTCTAATTATTTTTCTTTTTTTTTTATTTTAGTTTTTTTTAAAATGTTTTATCAATTTTTTGGTCGAACAATATAAAGACAATTAGTGTCATGCCCTAGAATCTAAATGGTAAGAATTCCTTCTTTTAATTTTTTAATATAATAAAATCATAGTTATCTATTTTCTTTTATCAATAATAATATTAGCAAAAATAAATCTAGTAATTGAAACATCAATATGCTTCTGTATTCATGCTCTAAAAATTATGTATAATACTCAGGAATCATTTAAATAAAATACATCACCAAGTCCTAGGCATAAAAGAATAACTAAAATAAAAGAAGCAAAACCTAATAAATCTTGATTGATCTTACTCTTCTGATCCTCTATCCTGACATGAAATTATTTAAACCACATATAATGAGCTTAAAAGCCCAATAGATTTCTAAATCCTACAACTGACACAAAGCACGAAAAGAAATATATATATATATATATATCACCAATCAATTTATAATAATAGCAATCATTATGATCATAAATTTGTGCATAAATAATAAGCATATGTATTAACAAAAAAATCTATGAAATAGTTTAACAGTACGATCCGAAAGCTAGTAAACCAGCATGGGCGTCAAATCAATAAAATAATCACCATTGCAATAAAATTAAATAAAAAAGAAAATCATGTTAATTGGTAGAACCAAAGCCTCAATGAAGACCGTCAAAACCATATCAATATAGTAAAATCATGTAATAGTATACATATATTATCCAATTATTTTATATCAGCATTAGATCAGTATCATAATCATATGTTTATTATATCACATAATTAGTAACAATGAATCAATAAACAAAAATATTATCAATAAATTAATATAAATATTAGTGAATCAATAGCAGTAGTGTCGATGATTGCAACAATAGAGCAATACAGTAATAATAGCAGTAAGGTCGTATAGTAATAATGAATCAATAACATGCATTCTAATAATCAAACTAAACAAGAACATAGTTTTGGCAAAGTAGTGTTTTTCTAGTTGTAAGTTGGTTGTTAGTAATCGTTGGCTCAATAAAAAGAGTCGCCGCTTCTCGCCCGTCAGCACGACAATAACTCTTTATAAATCACAATTAATAAATCAAGTGAATTAGTAGAGGATAATATCAAATCACAATATTTAAAAGAAAGTCCAATGACCCCCAATCCTATATAAGCTAGTCAGTCTTCAGCCAACATTAGTAAAACTAGCTTTTTACTTGTCCTCGCACATTATTATTATAGTATTATAACTATAATAGCAACCCGCTATTACCTAAACACATACCAATTTTTAGTCACAATGCTGGTATTAAAAATATACTTAAATAAAAAACGCACAAATTTCTATTTAGTGCAAATTGTATAAGAAACAATAACTTCTATTTTATCTATTGAAATTCATGAATGTTCCAAATAAAATATCCATAATAATCAATATGCTAACATATTAAAAGTTGTGCAATAAAAGTTTAATAAATTTGAAGAAAATATAATAAATTCAATTTAAAAGAAATCAACAGGTCGAAATCAAAATCTTTGAAAATAGAAGTAGAGAATAAGTACTTACCTCAATCTAAAAAATTCTCGTAAAAGTGGCAAAGCGATCCAACGAGAAAAACATCATTTGTTTTCTTTCTCTTCTCATTTCCTCCCCTCCCTTTTGGTTCCTTCTCATACAAGCTGGCACTAGCAGTGGTGAGAGAGGTGAGTGAGTGGTATAAATATACATTGCATGTTGAATATAGAATAATTTTAGAACAAAGGTTTTAATGCTGTGGTGGCATTTTCAGTCATGACTCAGTGACGTAGCGCTCAAAGGAACAACACCACTGCTCTTAAGTTAAAACTAAAATTCAGATTTAAATTTTAAAATTATTTTAAAAATTTGTGGGTTGTTATAATTAGTCTCTACCATGCATTCAATAACTTAAGTAGATAAAGAAAACTACATTCCACACCACATAATAGTTATGATAAAAACAAAAACAGTTTAATCACAACAATGATAATAGAATTTCATGTTAGTTAACATAAATTAAATTGAAGTATAATATTACTAAGCTAATGATAAAACAAAGAAATAACACGATTAAGTTAATGATTTTAAAATTAATATTAACTATGTAAAAATATGGTGTTAATTCCCAGCAATGATATTAAAAACTTAATAGTGTTATTTCTTTTTTATAAATTATTAATGTATCTTGCCATTTCAAGTAATAAAGTGATAAAAAATGTTTTTCAAGCATGAAAAGAAAAAACTATAGATCTTTTCTAAGGGTTTTATAATTTTATAATTAATATGATTTTATGATTGATTTAGTAATTATGTGTATGTAGAATAGATCTGCTAAGTTTAATTGTAAATTAGAGTATTAATAATTCCTCATCTTTATTGAGCTTATTGGAATTCTAGTGAAGTTATGATTAGATGTACCATGCATTAATCACTTGTTTCATAGCATGAACATGATCCTCTTAATCATTCAAAAATCCTGAAAAATTCATATGTTTATTTCTAGGATTTTATGCAAAATTTTCTATTTGTTCTACTGTAATCTCTATCGATAACATAGATCACACTAAGTTTTAAGTTTGTGAAAGAAAAAAATAGCTAAAGGAAGTTCATAGAAATATGAAATAATCATTGACAATATAAGTGCGTGTACCTAAGCTACATTAAACATAACATCAAAATCAAATAAAAAATTCAAAAAAATTTCTAACCTCTAATTTTCAATTTAAACAAAATAAAAATAATAACTTTCATTTCACTTCAAAATAAGAGCAATAGTAAAAAGATTCAAAAATACAAATTGGCTGTAAATCAAATTTTTCCTTCATATGAAGGCTTGCCCTCAATATACTTTCATACTTTCCCACTCTCATTGTCGTGACTACTAAAGAAATGCAAAAACAATAGAGATTAGGGATAAAGAAATAGGAGAGTTCCATTTGCGGAACCTTCTCCACTTTAGTTCACACTTAATTGTGGCAAGTCCTTTACATGAAACATACACTGCATCCGACATATCACCACTTGAGAACTGATTATTGCTTTGAGAATCTCTGTCGACGAATTGAGGTTGGAAATCACGCCGGAGGAAGCTATAATTCAGACAAAAAAAGCTTGAGTTAATTTGTGTTGTAAGTAAAGAGATAAAAACTTCATCATGTATAAATGATATGGTACCTCCAATGCTTACGCTGGCCTTCCCAACCAAAATATACATGCTGATTTTTCAGAACAACAATGTAGTACGAAATATTCTCGCCATCCTTCACATTTCTCACCCTCTTCATTGCAAGATATTGACAGCCGGACCAGCCGTTCATGTACAAAAATGCCCCATATCCTCCTCGGAGAGAAAAGGTCTCCGCTAATGAAATGCAAAATAATTAAAAAAGGGAAATTTACATACATGACATTTTATTTCATGTTATTTACATATATAACACTCAAAACATTAATATTACATGCCTACCACTCATATACAACTTTAATATCAAATATATCACTCATATAATTCATTTCTACATTTCATACGATCTTATAAACTTTAATATTTTATTCCATGCATCCAAATTTGTTCTATGAGTGATAGACATGTAATATTAATATTTTGGGTATTAGATACGTAAATAGCATAAAATAAAATGATATGTATATAAATCTCCCTTAAAAAATGCAAAAAATAATCAATTTCTTCTCCAACAATAGGCCACCGTTCTTCAGCAAATTATTAGATCCGGACACCGGACAGAGAGAATTATCTATCTACAATGATTGAAAACGACGGATGTGTTACAATCTCGTTGTATCGGCTCTGCCAGTGTTTGTGTTTTCTGTCATATTGAGCAAGAATCTCTTGCTCATCTGCTCTTTGAATGCATTTTCACTTTTGGCATTATTAAGTCTTTCCTTCCCTGGTTGGTCAAGTATCTCATGAGGCCTAATTTATTTCTGGCTCTGAAAAGTGTATTAGATCAGGGCTTAACTGCTTCTCGGGAGAATTATTTCCTTTTGGGTACCTGTGCAAACATCTATTTTATATGGAGAGTTAGAAATGACAGAATTTTTGATGGTATTGTTGATTGCCAAGCTACTGTGATGACAAAAATAAAAAAAGCCATTGACCGAAAAACTTCGACATGGAAGAAATTTTGATTCTTTTGCTGCACTGTGAATCCTCCCTCTCTCTATTTGATTTTGGTTGCCTGGGAGTTTTTGATAGGACAATGATGAATGCTATTTTTAACAACTGCCCCTTGGACGCTCTCCTTGGCAACCAGGGGCTCTGCTCTTGCTGTCCCTTTCGTGCTTTTTGGTGGTTTTACAAGAGCAACCTAAGTCCTATTCTGCTTTTAGCTCTGTTTTTGTATTTCTGCCCATAAGTTTTTATTCCTCTTTTGAGTCTTTAGTTTCTCTTTTTGTATTTGAGAATAAGGATTATAGTTTTTTCTTTATTTTTCACTTGTAATCTCCTTTATTTCACTTGACCTCAAAAAAAAAAAAAAAAAAAAAAAAAACTGCAATAGCATTTGGACCGTCCTTTTTACGGGATAGAGAGAAATCCGCATGTGAAGGGGAGGAGAGAAATCAGTAATAATTTCTCCCGTTCTCCGGTCTCGGGACATTTTCTCTCCAAAATCTCGGCATTTTGGTACATCACCAACTGGCCCGGCTGTCAATACCCAGCAATGAAGAGGGCGAGGGATGTGGACGACGGCGAGAATATTTCGGCCTGCATTGTTGTTCTGAAGAATCAGCATGGATACTTTGGCTGGGAAGGCCAGCGAAAGCGTTGTCATGGAGGTACGAGATCATATACACGATGAACTTTTTATTTCTTCACTTACAGCACAAATAAACTCAGGCTTTTTTTGTCGGGATTATAGCTACCTCCGGAGTGATTTCCGACCTCAATTCGTCGACAGAGATTCTCAAAGCCGTTGTCAGTTCAAGTGGCGATGTGTCGGAGGCAGTGCGCGTTTCAGGTAAAGGTCTTGCCCTAATTAATCGTGAACTACAGTGGAGAAGGTTCCGCAAATGGAACTCTCTTATTTCTTTATTCCTAATATCTATTGTTTTGAAGGCACTCAGTCTGACTGCTTGCTCTTGCAATGAATTCTTAGAGGCCTTAGTTTCCAACAAACCTGGAAATAGTATGCATGATGATGGGGGAAAGATGGGATCAGATCCAAAGGAGCGGAGGAAGAAAGGGAAGAGAACGAAGCAAAGGCCCAAAGTGGTTGAAATTGAGAAGACAGAAAGGAAACCTAAGATGGGAATTCCAATGCCTCCTCAAACACCCAAACAGAAATATCTTATTTCTGCTGCTTTTACAGGGACTTGCTCAGCTGATTGCTCTGACGGTGAATTGTTAGAGGCTTTAGTTTTGGATAAATCTGGAAATAGCATGCATGATAATCGTGGAAAGCTCGGAGCAGATTCAGATAAGGAGTGGAAGATTAAAAAGAAGAGAAAGAAGTACAGGCCCAAGGTGGTCGAAATTGAGAAAACAGAAAGTAAGTCTAGGATGGAGACTCCAAAGGCTCCTCAAACACCCAGTCAGAAATCTCCGAGGAAGAAAAAGGGCAAAGTGATTGGAAGGAAGACTTTTGCAAAGAAAAGGTTGTTTGAAAATTATTTAGAAGATGACGATGAATGGGAAGAACCTAGTGATCAACCCAAGCCTACTTATGCTGATGAGGCAATTCATCCTTCTAACAGAATCCAATTCGATGAGGATGATTATGTTGCTGAAAAAAATGTGGAGCCTTGTGGAAATGGAGTGATTACAGAGAATTTGTCAGCAGGATCTAGTAATTGTTCAAGAGATATCAATATTAGAATTGATGAGTTGTTGCAAGAGCTTGCTAAACTGCCCATGAAATCATCTTCACCTCTACTACTTAAAGAAGAATTATTGCAACTTAATATTGAATGCCCTGTAGATACCCTGAGTTATATTGTTGATAATATTAGAATCCCCTGCCTTCTCTATTTTGTTAAGCAAGCGAGAAAAATTATAGACAGAAGTAGAATTAAAACAGGTTATAAGCTCGGAGAGGGTCTATATCATTCAACAAACAAAGTATTGGAAGACTTTATATATGTGCTAAAGAAATGTCTTCCATCTCTTCTTTTGAAAAATGACCAGTCAACAGCTTCAGGGTATATGTTTAATAACAGGCAAGGTGGAAGGAGCAAGAGGAAAATTAGTGGATCAAGGGAGATAAAGGCTGCAGCTAAAAAATTGTCTATGCCCGCTAGCCAATCTAACTTTCAAATTGTGCCTTATACTAAGTTATATGAGTTAAGCTCAAGGTTCCAACACATAGAAGTCTCATGCACAACACCTGTGATGAGTAAGTTCACAACCAATGGGCAAACAACTCACAATTTGGGGGATATCAACTTGACTCCAAATCAGGGTAGCAGGAATGCAATGGAACTTGCTTTTCAAAGTGTTGCTGATAAGTTCAGCTTGGTGGACATAGATAATAACTTTGGGGTGGACTCTCCTGCTGAATTACAAAATGCTCTTGTTCCTTTTGTTGGAGGTGGTATGATTGTTCCATGTAACCGATCATTAGAACAAGTTAGGCAAAAACCCCACAGAGCAGAAGTGCTATTGGATCCAGAGACAAATAGACTGTGGAGATTTTTGCAGGAAAATGAAGGTGATGACAATGTTGAAGGCATGGATTCATGCAATCTAAAGTGGTGGGAGAATGAAAGACGCGTTTTCCTTGGACGTGCTAAATCTTTCACTGCCCGCATGAATATCATTTTAGGTGTATCATCATTACCCTTGTACATTATTCTCAACATAATATCTAATTTGTTTCATTTTCTTATTTACGCTGAAAAATTAGATTATTTTAATGGAATTTCTTGGGCATTGTTAATTTGTTTTGATAATTATACAATGATAAAATGCGGATTTTTCTTAGATAAGTAAACTCTAACTTCAAAGTACATTCAGAAAATGAACTATTCAAATGTTAGAATATGTTGAATTTATTTGTACAGTAATCAATTGAAACAAAGTTAGAAGTACATGATTATTGTTTTCAAAAGCTACATTTGAATAAACCCAATTATGGTTCATTTATTTTGCTATCACCAAGTCGATGATATTTGATGAAAAGGAGCATAAATAGCTGCATACTTAACTGCTTTATCTTTTTACAGGTGACAGGAGGTTCTCTCCTTGGAAAGGTTCAATTGTGGACTCTGTGGTTGGCGTTTTTCTTACCCAAAATGTATCAGATCATTTGTCAAGGTAGCAATCTTATTATATGAGTCTAATACAAAATGATTTAATTCTTCGTAACCATATGTGGTATTTGTAAATGTACCCTTACGTGCTATAATATATGCATATATCTCCTTGCAATGGCTGCTATTCACTTACGTGGACATAATTATTAGAGATTAGTTAACCGTTAATTGGAGGCTATGCATGTATTTCTCAACATGTCAGGGTTATTTAGGATGTCAATAATTACTCTACCAATGTGTACCACATTACCCTCTGTTCAAGTTGGCCTATGCCAGATCTTCTCTTAGCTTTTGGACCTATTACTGTGTAAAGTTTTGAAGTTCTTTCTTGGATTTTTGTAGATACCTATTCCAAATGAAAGTTAATTTGTATTTCATTTGAGAAAAGGATCAAAATAGTCTATTGACTCTTGACTCTTTATGATGGATCAAAATAGTCCTCAACTATATTAAATGAACATTTTGGTCTCTCCAACTTTTTAAAGATAAATCAAAATAGTCCCACAATGAGATGATTTTGATTCATTTTTAAAGACTTGAGAGATTAAAAATGATTATTTAATATAGTTGAGGATCATTTTAGTTCTTTATAAAGAGTCAAAGGACTATTTTGGCCCTTTTACCTATTCCATTTTGTCTTATAAAATTATCATTTTATCTACTATATGCAGTTCTGCTTTTATGTCCCTTGCTGCAAAATTTCCACTTCACAGAGAAGGGGAGGGAGGAAGTTCTGAGAGAAAACTGGCTGAAGAACATGAAGAGACCTCTACTGATGCCATGGGATGCCTAGACAACATTCCTAGTCTATCTAATTGTGATGCTCAAGATCCTATGGACATTCAGTTAAATGGGCATCCGCTGGAGGACTTGACAAGCCAATCTCACTACATTCAAAATTCTTTTGTTGCCAGTAGAATGGATAGTGAAAATGCTATGGTGTTTGATGTGGATGGATGCATTCCTAAACATGTAGCAATCATTTCAAAAGCTTTTCGTGAGAATGCAGAAAATGAATGTAGAGATTGTCCTCGTGTTCTTTCTGAATTGGTAGCATGCTCTAACGTGAACAATTATCATGTATATAAAATGGATGCTGAAAAGGAAGCTACCATCAGTTCTTCAAGCGAGTTAGAAGCTCATTTCAGGTTAGAGGAAAACACATCAAATGCAAAGAAAGCAAATTCTGTTGATGAAGGAAAAATTGACTGGGAGGGGTTGAGGAGAAAAGTTGATCCTGAAGGTGGTAAGAAAGAGAGGAACCGTGAGAGTTTGGACTCAGTAGATTGGGAAGCAGTGCGAAATGCAGATGTAAGTAAAATTTCTGAAGCTATTCGAGAGCGAGGGATGAATAATTTACTGGCAAATCGAATCAAGGTAAAATCGTTTTGCTTATTTGATTATAAAAAAGGCAAGGGCCGGTGTTGAAGGTGGATGGACCGGCTGGTCCGGTCCATCACTGACCTGCCCCAAATCCAAGTAAACATGTCCTAACATGCGGGCCTAGGCGAGTGTAGAGTACAGGTCGAGCGTGGCTGGGCGGGAGCGGGATGGTGTTGTCATGCCTCATGCGGGCGGGAGCAGGTCGCGACAAGTTTGCGCGGGTGGGAGTAGACATGATCATGGAGGTGGATGCAGTGCGATCAAATGGGCTTGAGTCTGGATGTGGACGCGGTGCGGTCACACGGGTCATTTTCAGGTTGGTGGGTTGACCCGAACCAAACATGATTTTTCAAACGGGTTAGGAATTAGAACCCAATTTAAACCGGATTTTTCGGGTCGAATTTTCAGGTCGGGGCATAAGTTGACACCACTAAGTGACATGTATATATGTGCGGGCGAGGGGGGTAGGGGATAGGGGTGTAAACGAGTCGAGTTATGACACTATCAAGCTCAACTCATCAGTTAGAAAGTCAGCTCGAAAAGGCGAGCTCGTCCCATTGTAAACGAGCTCACGAGTTGTTGTCGATCTGTAGAGATTTTACGCGTGCAGTTGTCTTATTCCGCTCAAACAAGATCTCTTCCACACACGTAACAAAGGTTTTACAACAAGTTTGGTTTTTATTATTTTTAAAATTGATTTAAAAAAAAAGCTACCCCACATTTATTAAAATGCTACAGGATTGCTTTTTATTTCTTGTTTCCACATAAAAGTTGGCTGATTAGAAATATAAAATTAATAGTTTATATAGTTTTAAATGTTTAACTCTAATATTTTAAAAGTTACAATATGGTTTTTATCTTTTTCACTATTATTTTTTTTTAAATATTCAACAACAACAATAACAACAATAACAACAATATCAAGCCTTTATCCCACTACATGGCTCAGCTACATGAATTCGTTTTCTCCGTTGTGTCTAGCTAAGAGTCAAATTCTCATTTAAATCTAATAAAGAAATGTCATTTCTAATACTTCCAAACCAAGTCTTTTTAGATCTATCTCTACCTTTCTTAACATATATCAAATCTAATACATCTACTCACCTAACATGGTCATCAGAAGGCCACTGTTTTATAAGATCAGACCATCTAAGGCGACTCTCTCTAATCTTATATGTCACTAGAGCTACTCCAACCTTTTCACGGATATGCTCATTTCGTATCCTATCTTTAAGAGTAAATCCACTTATCCACCTTAGCATCCTCATCTCAGCAACACTTAACTTAATGTTAATCTTCTCTTATATATATTTATTTAAAAATACTAATAGTAATTTGAGCCGACTCGCGAGTTCACGAGCTGAGCCTCATCAAGCTCGAACTCGAGCTTGATTAATAAACAAGCTCATGACTCGATAAGCTCGGCTCACTTATGCTCCTATGTGGGGGTTGAAAGTTCGTTAGGGTTGTTAAGCCCTTCTAAATTAGAGGCTAACCAAGAGCGGGGGGGGGGGAGGGTGAAGGGGGGGGGGGGGGGGAGGGTGAATTTGTGGTTTTAAATATTCATAAATAAAAACAAAAACTTTTTGAATATTTTAAAACAAACAGGATCAACCATTGATGCTGAAGCGATTAACAAAACCAATCAAAGATTTTAAACCATATAATCAACCATAGAAAATTATAGTGCGGAAAATAAAAGTGCAGGAATAAAATAGAAAGAACACACCAGTTTTTATAGTGGTTCGGTCAACTTGACCTACGCCCACTCCCTGGAGGCACCCTCCGAGTATTGCACTAAAACACTAGTGTCTCTCTTTTTGCTCCCACAACAAGGCGGATAAGCCCTTACATAATCATTTTCACTGACCCCGATGAGGTAAAGAACCTAGACTCCTTTTGCTTCTTCCTGAAACAGGAACAATTATTAGGTCAGGTGACCTGACGTAGCTCTACGTTCAGACGCCAATAACATGTTGTCACGTGGTCTTACTCAATACCGCGCGGCCCGACGACTTGACCCGGGATTGCTATGTTCACGTATTGCTCAGTATTGCTCTAGGTATTGCTCGGTATTGCTCGATATATCTCGGTATTGCTTGACAATAATGAAAAATATCGCTATGTGAAGACCAATACCGAGCAATACAGAGAAATACCGAGCAATACCGAGAAAAACTCGGTATTGCTCGGTATTTCTCGATATTGCTCGTTATTGCTCGGTATTGATCTTCACAGAATGGTATTTCTCGTTATTGTCGAGCAAAATTGACCAATACCGAGCAATACCTAGCAACACGCGAACATAGCAATCCCGTCTCCGTTCCCGGTCGGGGTTGTCGGGCCGCGTGGTAAATAGTGAGAACACATGGTACTATTTTACTGGCGTTTGAACGAGAGCTACGTCAGGTGACCGGACCAAATAAAAAGTTCCTGAAACAGGCACGGAACCTCAACTCCTTCTGCTTCCTCCTATTGCAGACAGAGAACTTTGATCTAGTGCTGATGAAGACCTCCTAAGAGCCACCAAGGTGCCAAGGATTACGATTGGAGAAGACGATATAAATTCTTGATTGGAGCAACCTTTGTGAACACCTCACAAACTCCCCCTCACAATATTCTCCTCTCCCAAGCTCTCCTTCTCCTTCTCTAAGCTCTCTCAGGTCAGGACAACAACAAAAGATATTTTTATAAGCAATTGAGAGATCTTATAAAGAAGACCTTGGAAATTGCCCTAATTTTCAACTTGCCGACAAAAATCGTTTTGGACGATCGACAGATCGTCCTGTATGATCAGTGTATATCAGTCCTTCCAACCAGAACGATTTGGGTTTGCTGTACGATTAGAACACAATATTTATTCTGATCGTCCAAGAAGATTTGGTCATCGTCACGTACGATTAGTTCAAAATTATACATCATCATCCACCAGATAGTTCGGGACATTCAGGAGATAAATCGAGATGATATAAAAATATAATTGATCGTTCAGGACGATACTTGGATTGTCCTGTACGATTAGTTCAAAATTAGTGATTATCGTCCAGCAGATAGGTCGGGACATCTAGGAGATTTAGGAGAAAATTAAGGTTTTTCACACAGATCGTCCAGGACGACATGCGATCGGCCAGAATGATATGATCGATCAATCTAACTTTAATTATTTTTCTTAATCACCTGACTAATTTAGGCATGATTGTAATGAATCGTCCAGGACGATATGGGATCGTCCGGTACGATTAGAACAAAATTCTAAAAATAAAATCTTGCCTAAATGAGTTTGGCAGCTGAGTATTTTTAATTTGAGCATATCATCCAGGACAATGGGCGTATCGTCTAGGACGATTTGCTTAAGCAAGTTTACATGACCCAGATGGCCTAATTAGGGTTTTTGTTTTTGACTGATCGTCCAGGACGATATAAAATCGTCATATACGATATGATCAAAAACAGAAAAGCTCTAACTCACTAAATTTCTCCACCTGAGTGTGTGTGCAAGTTTACTTAGCTTCAGGATCCACCAAGGTATATTTGACTTAAGAAAAGGTAAAAAATGCATTGAAATAGAAATTACAGACTGACTCAATCATAGTCTACCTTATCTTGAGCTGATTGATGTTCCAAACGAATTTGTGGACTTGAAAGGTTAGTGAGCTGGACACATAAAACAGATATGCATAAATGATTGTAGTAAAGGAACAATAATGTTTGTTATCATCAAAATCACATGACTTGAGTCCTGATCTGCAGCAGGGGTTGCAAACTTGGGCTTGAAACATTAAAAATTAAACTAATTCAATTCAAAGTTTAAGATTATGGATGAGTGTCAACCACTTAGTATTTATACACAAGATGTATTACCAAAGCCCAATACTCTTATGTGCATTGACAATCTCCCCTAATGTGTGGGGTTTGTACATTAGCTGGCTATTACATGATGTGTGCAAAAAAAGAGGTTAATCTGAAAATTTGAGAGAAACCGACTGAGCCTATTGATTTGGTTTGGTTTGAAGTCTAAATTTTTTTTCTTTGCCAACTAATTTAGTTTGATTTAGGCTAGGTTTGCAAAATTGAAATAAACCAAACTGAACCAATTAAGCATGATATATAACTGTAAATTCTATTCATAAATAATGAGCTTTATTTAATTCATCTTTATGTATACAACCCTTTTGGATGCTTCTAGAGTTTTGAGTTGGAGACCATTAACAAAGAGTTTTTAAATAACTTTATTTAATTGTATCGAAGTATCTGACAAGTTTTTTTTTTTTATCAAATTTGTGGAAAATGATTTCTAATGCATAAATAATTTATTCCTCGCAGGATTTCCTTAGTCGTTTGTTTAGAGACCATGGAAACATTGATCTTGAATGGTTAAGAAACGTATGCCCTGATGAAGCCAAGTAAGACCATTTGCTTATTGATTTTATGTTGAGATGACCTGTCATTATGGATTATTAGAATTACTATCCTAAATTTTTGTGCTATAACAAAGCGCGCCATATTTAATTTCATTTTGAGCATATGATGAATAATTGAGAATTTCTTCTTTTCCCAAGAGCATACATGAGATTGCAGGCAGCAACAAGTATGTGCAAATCATAACAAATCTGTCTACACCCAGGAACCTCTCTCTCCATTCTGCAACTCTTTCCTTATCACTTTCTCACTAACAAAAGCTGATGTTACATTTAAAAGATGTCAATTTATTAAAATTGGTGAAGTATGATGCTTACAGGAAATTTTTTTAATATCTATGCTGCTCACAGGAAATACCTTCTAAGCATACGGGGATTAGGGCTAAAAAGTGTCGAGTGTGTTCGCCTCCTAGCACTTCAAAATGTGGCTTTCCCCGTAAGGTTCAAATTTAATAGAACAATTTAATTTCAAATATGGGTTTTACTCAATATTATAAAGTTCTTTTTCATGTTACTATTAAGGTTGATACCAATGTTGCTCGCATAAGTGTAAGATTAGGATGGGTGCCACTCAAGCCGTTACCAGAGTTCCTTCAACTACATCTCTTAGAACAGTAAGTGTGCTAATCTTTCCTAATGACATATTTTATTGGAGATTACTAATTATCTTTTGGCCCCACTCCAGATTCCATCCCAAAATTGATTATGAATTTGAAAACATTATTAATTTATTGTCCATTGCAATCCTTCTAATCTTTCATGGTATTTTAATAGGTATCCTATAATGGATAGCGTGCAGAAATATATTTGGCCACGTTTATGCAAGCTTGATCAAAAGGAGTTGTAAATTTCAGAAACCTACTGCAAAAAAACTCATTTCCAAAATATGTTTTTATTGTAGTACATTGATTCAGAAAATGATTTTTAATTCTTTTTGAGAAACTTTGTTTTCTTTTTAATTATTTCTTGACTATTAGTTTCTTATATACAAGTTTACCTTGTCTTACAGATACGAGCTACATTATCACATGATTACTTTTGGAAAGGTAAATTAATTGGTATGTTTATATGAGCTACGCCTACATATCAAATTACTTTGTTGTTTTTTCTAATAGGTTGATTGTTTCTTGGAGTTTCATGCAGGTATTTTGTACAAAAAGCAAGCCAAACTGTAAAGTTTGTCCAATGAGAGGAGAGTGCAAGCACTTTAATAGGTATGAATTTCTTTTCTAGTTAGAAAGTCTGAAATCGAGGAATGGATAATTATTCATTTTTAACCGTTTTTTAGTTTGGTGATTATGAACATTATTTTGATCCTGATTTTGTGGCTACGCTATTCAGTTAGAAATAATGAAGTTGAATTGTTGCGATAAATGAAGGAACCTTATCTTCAATGGCACACTATTGACTAAATTAAAAAAAAAGGAAAGATGAAAAAAAATTCAAACAACTTCAAGAAGCAATGCTCTGAGCCTGCATGCAGTTTGAGCTCATGCGACTTGTGCTCGCGTGCCTCTGCATCCCTTACACCGACCCCACTTCATAAAACAATGTAATGCTCCTCACGTAACATACACTTACGGAATAAAACCATCACAGTCCGCTCTCCCCATTCAAACACATGCCCTCTCCCTTTGTCCCTCTCGTCTCTTTGTGCCGCTCATAGGAGTCGAAACCCCTCTTCTCCCATAGTCGCATGCAGGAAGACTGATCCCAAGCCAACTACCGTACTACCTGTTCCATTCACGTTGGCCCCTTGTTCCGATCCCGAGCCAACCCTTCCACACATCAGCTCCACTCCTCTGTGCGCAATCCATATTGGCGCCCTGCTTCGATCGTTTGTGCCTAAACCCTAGGTCTGCACGAAGTCGCATGACTGCCCTTCTGTTTAGCCTCTTCAAGCATGAACTTATGCTTTGATTCGTTCAATCTTGTAATTCAACTACTTCGTCACAATTTCATCTCTATTTGTACATGATCTTATTGTGTATGTATACAAATAGGAGCCTGGTCTTGTATACAAATAGGAACCTGTTCGGTAGACCATCATTGTCTCGCCTTTGATATGATTGCCCGGGAATCTTTGTAATAAAAATATATAGTTTAAAATAAATAAAAATTATAAATTTATGAAGCAACAGATGCCGACAAATTGCAAGACCCGCGTCGTCGATCTTAATAGATCTGGTCGGGAAGTAATTATCGATATGATTGCATGCGCGCGGGGAGAATCCGGGATGCTGCTGAAATTACCTTAGAAGACTACCAATTGGAGAGCAATTAAATTTTAAATTTAATTTATATATTCAATTAATCAACTGATTAAATTTAATTTATTAATTCAATTAATCAACTGATTAAATTTAATTTATTAATTCAATTAATCAACTGATTAAATTTAATTAATGAAAATTAATTAATTGAAATAAATAATTAATGAAATTAATCAATTAAAGGAAATTAATTGATTTATTAAAATTAATTAATTAAAATCAAATTGATTAATTAAAATTGCTTGATCAAAATTAATCTATTGATTGGAATTAATTAATTATATTAATTAATAGAAATTCATTAGTTAATTAGAATTAATTAATTAAAACCAAATTAATTGAATGATATTAATTAAATAATGTTAATTAATTAATCAAAATTAATTGATTTGCTGAAATTACTTAATTGAAATTAGTTAAGATTTGTTGGTTGATTAAAACTTTCATTAGAAAGAAATTGAAAACAAAACTTTCATGTCACCCATGGGAAAAAGTCATAAACCGTATTTCCCTTAGTGAAATCACATTTCAATTTGGAAATTGTCAATCAACATGGGGTAAAAGTCATAAACCGTATTCCCTTAGTGAAGTCACATTTCAATCTGAAACTTTTCATCCACCCATGGTCTTTTTGTATAAAATGCATTTCTCTACTTCAATTCCATGATTGTATAATTTCCCGGATTGGAGATCTTTCTTTTCTTATTCTGAAGTATGAAATTCGTAAATTCATTAATGAAAAACGAATTTCATTCTAAATTCAAGTTGAAGTTCAGTATTCTATTCATCTTAAGAATCTCATTCTAAATTCAAGTTGAAGTTCAGTTTTCTATTCATCTTAAGAATTCTAATTCACTTAAGAAATAAGTAATCTTAATAAGAAGGAAGTATTAAGAAAGAAAAGAAAATAGAAAAGAACAAGAAAAAGAAGGCGTTAGGATAGTTTTTTTCTTCAAGAACAAAAGGCAATAGTTTGATTCGAAGAAAAGGGACTTAGTCAAAGGATGACCCTATCAATAAAGGATACCGCAATGGGCAGTCAATTGAAAGGACATAGCGAGAGACAGAATGGGCTTAGTTAGGGGCGGGCCTATTCCACCAACATCAACTAAGGTGCGGAGCAAGAGAAATGAGTCCTTGATGAAGAGCTAAGGTGCGTAGCAATGGAATGAGAATATTTCAAGAAGGAATTCCGTCGGCCACAGTTCGACTGTACCTGACAATGAGGCTTGCAAGGTGCGTAGCAAAGAAGCCGCCAATTCGCCTTAACACAATACCTTTCAGGGCTACCACGGGATACGTGAATGGGAAGGCACAAGGAAGACCTCGATCTCCTTACCAAGCACGCACTTGTCCCTTCTCCGGCTACGAATAAGCCACTTGGCAATGGTGCCTCACAAGGCTAGAAGAGGTTTACATCGCTCGTGACCTAACAACGTGAGTCACTTCAATTGCTGAGGCGCGAAGCGAAAAAGAAGTACGTACTTGTTTTGTTACCAAAACCCCGCCTAATGCCTTGCAAATGAGAGAAAAACTACATAAGACATTATCGAAGAATGGGAGGAAAAGGCGGCGATAGTTTTCTTTTGACAAAGAAAAGGGAAATTGGGCCCATACGACTTCCACCGCTAACCGATACGGCAATGGCGATCCACCAGGAAACCCCATAACCCCCCTCTACTTAGAAAATTCAGGGATACATCGACTAAGGGACAGGCGGTAGGAATGGAAAGCTGGGCGTACTGGATAGATTCCGAAACGAACTCATGTTCATGCTTCTAACTAGGCTTTTTCTTAGCTATATAAGCTCCCCAAGATTGAAATGAAGAAAAAAAACTAGCGCCTTATCCTATCCGGGAAGCAAGCATGGAAGCACTCAAGCTAAAGCAAAGCTCCACATACGCGCCATTTCATAGCACTCAAGGTTCTGAATGGAACAATCGGTGCATGAGGAATAAGGAAAGGCCTGAATGAAAGGGTAGAACCATAACGAAAAGGGGCAAGAATGCGACAGCAGCAGATGGACTGAAGAGGGAAAACATACATCCATACGACAGGAGAATAAAGGGCATATGGGGGACAGATTTGCCTTTTCTCCAATAGAGTACTTATGCAAGTGCCAGGCATGACTCTATCGCCAGACTAGACCACAAGCAGAGGTGGTTCAATCGATCTATCTACTACAGGCTAGCTCATTCAAAACTCGGTCAGGTCTTCGCATCGGTCGAGCTCGATCCTTTCGATCGGGAAAGGCTTGAATAGAACAACATACAAGCAAAGTGAATTGAAATGATTCGAGATCTGGATAGTGCATTGAACTAAGCAGCAGAAATTGGACTTGACTGAAAGTGCCGATGCTTGTCCGCCTATTTCTATCTTTCTATGATGGACGAAATACAGCATCAAATAGCCGAGCCTTATGATATGATAGAGAGCTCCAGCTCCTCTTTTGTCTGAATAAAGAAAGTCATCAAAATGATATCTTTCCTCAGCCAGAAAAGGTGGACATATTTCGGATGAGTGGCCGATCCGTGAGGAAGATCCATATTCATATGAAGTCGCAGGCCATATTGGAATGAAAGGTAAGCCGCGTAAAGCCAGAGCATTTGAGCATCGAGAATTTGATTTGAGAAGTCAGGTGACGAAAGTAGGGCAATTAGTTCCAAAAAGTCAGTCTTAGGAAGCACAGATTTTATATATTCCTTTTATCTGAGTGAATGCCAGATATTCTCCGATCAATGTTCTAGTTCAAGTACTATGCTTATCAAATCCATTAGGATTGAGACTACGATCTCTATGCACACGACACTTGCTCTTTCTTGGCTTTTCTGGTTGGTTGGCCTACTGAAAAGCTAGCTATCCATGCCTAGCCCTTGTGGAGTAAAGAAAGCCCTGACTTACGCCTAGAGCACCATGCAGTCCAAATATGCTACATTAGCCAGCCCAGTCCGCATCGGAATAAGCAGATAGTTACAAGTTACCATATAGGATCCCTTTACCAGGAGATGCCTTGAGATACAATTCGATGAACTGCTTCTAAATGTCAATGAGGAATTGACGGTGTATGCATGAATTGGCTCACTACACCAACAGCGTAGGTCAGGTCCGGGTTCGGTCTTGTAATAGTGAGGGAGATTAGCTTCCCAACTAACCTCTTATATGCTCTAGGATCTGTTCTCCTTCAGGGCTGAGAATATGATGAACCTCCACAGGCGAGTATGTAGGCTTCGCACCCAGTTTTCCGATTTTCCAGAGGAAGTAGAAGCCAAATTGGGACCATATGTGATCAGACAAGTCCTCCCAGGGATTGCGCTACTGCTAACAAACATGGATGGACTTCCCTCGCCTATCACCCGCAAAGTCCCTCAAATAAAGCGCATGTCTTATTGCCTAATTGTTTTCTTCATATCATATATCTAACATTCCTTAAGTTCCTTCTGATTTGTCAAAATTAGGTATTCCCAGACAGTGTATAGCCCTAGACTGATGAAGAAGAAATCTCAGCATGAGAGAAGGAACTTAATACATCTCAAAAGCAGGAGGACGTATATTGAACAATTCTAAGAAAATCTATTTTCAAATAGATTAAGGAGAATAGAAACTATTTGTACACAAAAACTCTTTTGTATACGCATACACATGGCGTCCAGCTTCATTCTTTATACTAGTAAAAGGTCTAATAAGTATAGATTCCTCAAATATCCTAACATGTCTTTTCTTTTCGTAAAACAGAATTCCTCTTTTTAGGCCTTTGAATTGATACCCTATCCCCGCGCTGCGGTTAGACAGTGAAATCTTTCGAATTCGAAAATGAAGAGGAAATCGGTTCTAATTTGCCTAATTGAGATCTCTGGAATATGGAAAGAATATTTACTTCTTTTTTGTTTCATTCGAAAAGGGCCCTTCTTCTATGTTCTATTCTAGATCCAAAGACTCAATTCTTACACAAAAACAAAAATAGGAAAAGAACCATAGGTTCGATACCTTGTTCTTGTTAGAGTTATAGGCTCTTGTTATCTAATTCGTGCTTCATAGAAATCTCAGATAGAATCGACGAATGAAACAGGTTCATTAACAATTCACATCACGGATACAGAATGAAAAAAAAGAAAGATTCATCAGGTGAAAAGAGAAGTATAACCATCCATATCCTATTGCCTCGGGATGTGTGGTATTTCGCCTGTTCCTAAGTTGTTCCTTTGGAATGGGCTTGTGTCAAATGCTTTTGCTCTCGCTTTATCGGAGGCCAGCATACGGCCGCGTAGAATGCCCTAGCCTGATTCTTTTGTGGGGTCAGGCTCTAGCGCTCTCCCAGCGCGTAAGTAGTGATTCTCCGGCTATAGATATTCAATGGTAGGGTGAATCACTGCTTTCCTTGCGCGCTGCAGCTTTGCTTGCATGACTTCGCTCGTGCTTTATTGGAATCGACAATAGCAGCCGCTATTGTTCTTTTTGGCATATACGCGGAAAGCATCCCAACAGGATATGGATGACTTCTCTTTTCGCTCAGGAGGGCGCGGTGCTAGCTTTTGTTCCGGTGGTTCTTCTATCATATTGGTATGGAGCGGGGAAGTCTCGTATCTTTTGTTTGGGTTGTGGGTGAATAATGCTGTTGCTATTTGTCTGATCCCTTTTTTGGAGTGGACATTGATCTTCCTTCAGCTGTGAATTCTCGCAGGGGTTTTAGTTGTTGCAAATTATCGATGAGTTTTATGGGAACTTAGCTCAATAAAGCTTTATTGACAGATTGTGATTTGTACGCTCAATATCCGCTAATGGCTCGCAGCCATACTTCAACTTTCCGTATGGGCTGTTGGAAGCTTACAAGTCTAGTTCAAGAATTGAACAGAATTCGCGGAGCTCGCCCGGAAATCAAAAGAAAAGAAAAATGAGCAGCGCTCGCCAGGCATAAGTAAATACTAATAGTGGCTTTCCTAGAGGTCCAACAAACCTCAAAACTCTATTGTAAAATGCTGACGCACCTTCGCTGATCAACGTTAATGCCCTGCTTCTGCTTTTTTTTTCTTTCGTTCTGTGAATCAATCGTTAGACTTTTCTTAGCTGACGGGAACCTACCTATCGCAGCGAATACTTATTTTGAAAGAAATGAAAATAACAGAATTGGGTTTTCGCAGAAGTCACTTAGTGAATCTATTTACTGTATATGGATCTCCACTCTCTATGTCTCACCACGAAGCCATTATCCAGCCGGTTTTTTGTTCTATTTGCTACGCAACCTAAGCTGTCTATGAATTTCTTTTTCCTGTTAGCGAGCTTACCGATCATAGACTGCACTGTCTCATTTTATGCTTCTTTTTGCTCCGTGTAGGATCTTCAGACTAGCGCCCTAATTGGTCATGGTCGTCAAGGTGGGGGGGCTCCCTGACATGGACTGTCTCCATCTGCCTTCTTCTGCTACTGGTGAGAGGCTGAAATAGAAAGGAATGGTTGGGACAACCAGATGCCCGAGTTGTGAAATAGGGAGAATTTGAAATCTTCTCCATATCCTATTCCAGAAAGGGCTAAATCCATTTTAGGGTTTTACCTAATCAATTGGCCGGATTCTAGTTCTTATCTAATGAAACTTTCTTCACTATGTGCCTTAGCTAGTCATATCTTTCCCTCCCTCTTACGAATCTCTCAAGAGAAGCTTGCATAGCCTTATGCTTTTTTAGATGAAAGGGACGATATTGCTCTCAGAACTATACTTTGTTTTCGAGGGGAGCCGAGCCTTCGTAGCGAGACAGGTTGTACCTATTTGATGCGGATCGTTAGGTCCACATCCCAATTGGGCATGTGGTTAGGTTGTCACTCGTGAGAGTGGTGATATTTATCACATTTCCTAGGTAGGGTACCTAGGACGTTCATCCTAGATACAACTACTATGAGCTCACATCTCAGTGCCTTCCTATGGTTGTTTTACCTGTCCAATTGTCCTTTCTTATTCTTCAAAATTCTAAATTTGTTGAAGATCTCTTGAGCCAAAATACAATGTTCTGACATTGATCTACCTAGAATGAAAGCCATCTGTTCCTCAGAAATCATCTTGGGCATGTACTTTTTCAGCCTATTCACCAACATAGTAGCTACAATCTTATACGTAGTTTGACATAGGCAAATAGGCCTATAGTTAAATGGTACACATGGGTTCTTCACTTTGGGGATTAATACAATCAAAGTATCTTTCCATTCCTTGTGCATACTATCAGTATTAAAAAACTTTATGATAACCTTCCAAGTAGTTTCACCTACTAAACTTCAATAGCATTTAAAGAATGAAGAAGTCACACCATTAACCGCAGGTGACTTATTGTTACCTTCCAGGAAAACCGCTTCCTTATAGTCTTCCATGAAAAACTCAGCCCCCAAAGCCTTCCTATCCGACGTATCAACCTCTGCTCATCAGAAATCTCCGGCCACCCTGTCAATTGACATTCTCTGTATCTCCATTTTTCTTCAAAAAACTAAAGAAAAACCTGCTCAATCTGCTCCTCTTCCTCCACCAAGTGATTATTCCCATCTTTGATTTGTCTTATCAACTTTGCATTTCTCCTTGCTAATGCAAAATTATGAAAAAACTTGGAATTTGTATCCCCTTCCTCTTGCCATCTTGCCTTAGCCCTTTGATTCCACCAAGTAGAAAGTCTTCTAAGAGTAACATTAAGCTCATGAACCTTACTCCTAAGAAGAAACAAATATTCAATAGGAAAAAACTCCATCCAGGCCTCCTTAATCTGTAAATCCAGAATTTCTCTTTTCAAGTCATCTTTCAACTTGCACAAATCCTTGCATTTATTTTTACTCCAGATGAATAAGGCTCTCAACGTCCTTTTAAACTTTCTATGAAGAACCTCCACCTCATCCCCGAAGTCCGCTTTCTTCCATGAGTTATAAACAATGTTCCAAGCAGTCGGGTATGACCTCTAAGTATCTTCAAATTTGATGATCTTAGCCTTGTTAAGTTGCATAGCTTCCATTTTAAAGACAATTGGACTATGATCGGACGCCACCCTTGCAAGGTGCCGCACTTTTCCTGAGGGGACCAAGTGTAAAGATGCTGAATTTAACAAGTACCTATCTAACCTTTCCCATGTCCTTGAAGCTCCTTCTTTGTTATTGCACAAGTAAAACTTGGTCCAACAAAACATACATCATGAAAGTCATAATTAGTCATTAAATCCCTCATCTCTCTAGGACCTCTAGAGAAGAGGCATCTCTTTCCACCCTTCTTCTCTTCCTTAGTCAGAATGCAATTAAAGTCCCCCCCCAGAATGCAATTAAAGACCCCCCCCCCCACCCACAATGGAAGGACCCATGCCCACCTTTTTTCTAGCAAACTCCATAGATTCCTTCTTTCAACACAACATCTACTACCATAAACAGTGGCCACCTTCCACTCACCCATAGATGGAGTAGTAAGGTCCCCCACAACCACTTGAGAAGAACTCTCATCTACCACAAAAGATGCCACCTTCATGTTCCATACAACCAAAATTCCCCCAGAAGTACCCACAGCTGGGTGGTGGAAGAAATCCCAATCACTCCCAATAAGGCTATCCACATCCCTTCTATCAACACTACTAAGTTTAGTCTCCATCATCCCAATAAAGAACACATCATGTTCCCTTACAATCTCCCTCAGATATAGAAAGGCCTCTCTCTTCCTGGCCCCCCTACTATTCCAAAATATGACGGACGACATTAAGCTAACAGAGGGGAACCGTCCCCACCCGCCACATTTTCTTTACCATCTCTTTTTTTCTTTTTGTGCTCAGGTTCTAATGGTCCCAACGACTTCAATTCCTTGGCCAATTTAAATTTGACCATGTTGCTGTTAAGAGCAACAGCGGTCTTCAATTCATTCAGAATTTCTTCAGCAGCAGTAGTTTCCTGCGTATGTTCTACTGTGGGATGATTCATCACTTCCCCTTCTTCAATATCTTCCATCAAAGCATTAAACTTATTGGCTACAGCAATATTCATCTCCATTCCCATATTATCTTTCGCAATATCAGAACATCTGCCTATGTTCTCATTCTTCTGGTCAGCTTGTCTCACTTATGTATCCACCACCTTTACACTTTGTTGAACTGCATTCTGCACATCGTCACTCGCCTTCTTCACATATATACCAGGCCTTCCACCCCCTACAAATCTTTTGTTCTTAACTCTACTGTTCTTAAACCGAACATGAATCCACGGCCCGTAATCATTCCCTGAAATTTTATCCTCAGCAGAGACTGCCATACCACTTGCTGCTTTATGTTTATCCCCTGTATTCTCGCTATGAGCAGGCTTCATCACCTCAAAACATACCTTTTTATCATGTCCCACCTTTCCATAGTGGTAACATAACAAATATATTTTCTCATATTCAATTTTCTGAAAAAATCTTCCTGCCATTCCATCTATCCAAATGCCCTTCAGAAGGCTATTCTCCAAATTTAATCTTACGCACACCCGCGCAAATTCACATTTTCTCCATTTAAATAAATTCCCATCCACATACATTGGAACTCCAATTCACGATGCAATTCTTGCAATGTTCTCTTCATCCCAGCAATAAAGAGGCAAACAGGGAAGACGAATCCAAACGGGTGCAGTGATACCTTTAAAGGAATTGGGATTGAACAACGGAGACCATTTGTTTCATGCCCATAACGTATCCTCCCACGTACCACGACTCGCCATTTAAAACTTCATCCATTGCTTCCTCACTCTTGAACGAACATAAAATCCAGTTTAAGCCAAGCGACGTCATGTGAAAACTTCCATATTTATTCCATTGCCTTCTCAGTTCTAGGCTACAGGGAAAGTTATCTTATCTCCCAAAACCTTGATAACCAGTGAGTATTTCAGAACTTGTGTATTCAACACTTCCTTCTCAGCATTTAATTTGACTGCAATCCCATCCTCTGACATTTCGGCAAGATCATTGTTGAATAAAATCTTGATATGTTGGGGTTTCTTCCATGCTTCAATGAATTCCTCCTTCAAACCATTTCTATCTGCATTCCCGTTGTCAATGTTGACCTGTTTATCTTCTATCACAGATTTCATCGCAAGAGCATTGCCTTCTCGGCTCCCCAAAGCATCAATTTTAGATGCTATA